TTAAACAATTACTAGTGAACACACTGAAAATAGTAATATCTGCAACTAAAAATTACCAAACGTTGCAAATGAATGTACAAAAGGTGATAAAAAGCAGTGGTGAGATAGGTACGATACAAAAAATATTTATCATAGATCTACATAGTGAAAATATCAGATTCACTATCAGCAAAACACAGCACAAGTTTCCCACAAATTAAATCACGTTAAAAATAAAACCTTTTCTGCTGAATAGGTTTTTTAATTACCAGAGTGCCTGCAGATTTGCCTCTGGACGTTAACTGGTAACAAACTGACGAGAAATACGTTTTCTAAGCTGTGCAGACAGAGAATCCAGATAACATTAAACCAGTACTATCTGACAATACTAATTACACGGGAGTAAATTGCATCAGTAATGAAATTTCATAGCCTATAATACGTGGTTACGCGGAAAAGACAATGGATTGCAAATATTTATCAATTCACTAAAATGGAAACATAACGTGTTAATCAGAACCATATCTTATATACATGTAATTAGACATCGGAAACTTTGTGGCGACTATCAAATAAATAAACAATAGCAATATATATTATGCTAGAAGGCGTCAATACGTGTTGTAGTAACAGAAATAGGCTAAATCTGTGATCAAACCGTGTGCCGCTCTATGCTCACGATACGTAATGCTACTGACTGCCAAAAAAACATGTGCCATACACTCTACCAAACAAAGCATCAAGCTCACTCACGCACAAACGATAAAGAAATGCACGGTCAAGGTCCCACTAGATATTTATCGAATAAATTGATCGATGGGAAGCTTCAGATAAAATGTGAAGTAGATGCTTCACAACCATTAGTAAAAATAGCATATATAAATATATCTATTTTAGGTATGCGCCTGTGACCTCGGTAAATGTTGAACCGTCATTTTCGTTTTTGAAATGGGTATTTACTGATCGCCAGAAACGATTAAACGGGGAACACTTAGGACAACTGATAATTATTTTCTGTAAACGCTTTCCGTTAGACATTACTATTTTGTTAACTTTTGTTGGTACTTATTATTACATACTATATCTATGTATTTTATGGTAAGTTCCATGTGAAATATTTAGTGCGGAAAAATAAACACTGCCCCTTTTTGTGCCCATTCTTCGCCTTGTTTTGGTCACAATCAGGCAACCACGTTAACATGGGCAACTAATGAGTGTGGACTATAGGAAAATACAGTAATAGGGATTATTTGAATCAATATTATTGTAGCACATACCGCTGAAGCGAAACAATCTTTTTTTCGTTACACCTGTTAAATAACAGTTAGATTTCATTTAAATTCGGTCGTATGTAAAAAAAAAACGATGACGTAAATGAAAGCGCCGGATAAATGCAAACATAATTGATCTGTGAATTATTCGGTTGGTAAAATTAAGCTTCGCCCCAAGTTACAAAACAATAGCTACCCCCGGCCAATGTTAAATTTATGGTTTGTTATTATCGAAAACCTCATCAGGGCTTGAATTAGAAAAATGATTTCGAATTTACCAATGCATCACTGAACAAAACACAATTTAAATAATGACGGCCATCGAGACCATAAATGTGGTTTTATTCGTGTTTGATTTTTTCGTAAATGCGCAAGATAAAAAAATATAAATGAGGTAGTATTACAGTTCATATTATATCGAAGCAAATTAAAAAAAAAACATGGATTTGTAAAACTGTTTCATTTACCACGCATAATTTACATATCCCACATGATACGACCCGGATTTAAATCTGGAAGGAATGGTGACCACTCTAACCTTCATTTTTTATGAGAAACTCTTATTACGAAGGAATGTAATTAGTTAAATGCTAATTAAATAACAATAGTTGCATTAATTAAACAATCATATTATAACAAGTTGGTTAATATTATAAGAATTTCGCCTTAACAACGGATATTTTGTAATGTTTTATAACAATTTGTCACTGTCATTTGCCCACAGCCAACTTGTTATAATCGGAATTTTTTAAAACTCTCTTTTTGTTATTAAATAGTAAATATCTCAGAAATTAATAATTTTAGTTATAAGGAATTCTTTATAAAAATGAAAGAACGTAGTGTATTTTCAGTTTTTAAAATAAAATACAGTGATTCATTTAAAAAAAAAGAGAAAATTATATGCTCGAGTTTTGGCTCGCCCTATATTCAACTATTGCATTAATAAAGAAATAGCACTTTCTCGTAAAACTATACCAATATCAATAAGTTGTGACTGCAAAAAATTATTGTTAAGTTGTTCTGTTTAGGGTATAAAGGAAGCTGAAATGGGAATGATTCCCGTATACAATTGACTATAACTTTTGAAATACCCTGTATAACATAATTAAACCCTATTTTGGAAGGAAGGGAGAGATGGGCTGAATCTAAATTTGAAATAATATATAGAGTGTCCCATTTAAAAAAATGGTATGTTTGGTTCACCCTGGTAATACGTAACACCCCGTATACACGAAAATAATTTTAAAATGTGCAGTTTTAAGTTTCCTACAATTTTTGTAACTAACTTTTTTCATATCTTCTATAATAAAGGAGATGTCGTACTTCGTCGCACTGATGCCGCACCCTGTATACTTAATAAAAATTTTAAAATATCTAGATATTGGTTTTTTCTTTTTAAGTTACCTTAATATTTGGTGATGTATTTATGAAAATATTTGAAAAGTTGACGCTTTATCTTTAAATGTTCAAATGGGAATGGGACGGATTGCATTCAAGTAGTAGGAATATATCTGTTTTGCAAAATGCCTCAAATTGTCCCAAAACTTTGTAATTTGTCAAATCCAGATAAATGCACAGGACATTGTGTTCATCGATCATTTGCGACAAAGAGACATGGGGGATGGAAATCTCCAAACGTTGCCGAAGGATATACAGGATTTCGCATAAGAAGTGACACAAAGCAGGGGCACCCAAAATCTGGTGATTTAACCTAACTTACCTTTATACTAAGCGGTACCCCTGAGAAATTATAGACCTTGAAAGTGGGGTTTCAAATTTCGAAAAAAAATTAACATGTCAGTTATATTTGAACTTAGAAAAATCAAATTTGGTACACGGTGTGAGTGTACCAAGAGCATTAATCGACAATAAGTAGAGCTCAATTGAAGCATTGTAAAGGATTGGTAAGGGATGATGCACCATTAAAGTGTGGCAGAATTTTTAAAACCCTTTGGCGGACTTAAATAGTTATTTACACCATAAAGGAGGTAAGTATTATTTACCAGTCGAGGACGATTTTGTGCCCGAGCGGAGCGAGGGCTAGCAATAGAGTCCGAGACTGGTAAATTATACTTAACTGCTGCGTGGTGTATAACATTTTATCTGCTCCCACAATTCTTTATGGTTCATGAAATAAAGATTAGGTTTTAATTTTTGACATTTCTTAATCAATTCATTTTGACATTATTCGAAGTCTTGAAAAGTCGCTTTGTTGCTTGGATTTTGTCGTTTCTAAGGTGTTTATAAACAAAGCTACATAAAAGTTGCAGTTTTGCTGGTTTTGAATTATTATTTCTAAATGAGTGATTGTCAAATAGAAAGTGCAGCAAATGCTGCTTGTGAATTTTTATGTACTTTTTATGATTTCTAATAATATTGCACAATTTTTGAAACTAGAACATCCTGAAACATATACAGGCCATTCATTCCGAAGAACATCGGCAACGTTACTGGATAATACAGGAGTTGATGTATTAGCAATCAAGAGACATGGTCTGTGGAAATCAGCCACAATTGCAGAAAGTTATGTTGCTGACAGTTTAAGTAACAAATATGAAATAGCTAACAGGATTCTTTACAATGACAATTCAACTCCTGGTTCTAGTAGTACGTCGCGTGGTGCTGTTTTAATGGATCAGTCAGATAATATTGAGCCTCCGGTGACTGAAATGGAGCAGTCAAATCATTTTGAGAAAAATGTGAACAATTAGTAAACGCGAAGGGAATAATTATCCAGAATTTATAAATGTTACTAAGTGTAATAACTGTACAATTACTATAAATATTCATTCATAATAATTAATAAAATATGATGTTCATCAAATATTTCTGTTTATTTGTTCATAAAATGTACATTTATAACTCGAAATCGCTTTTTTCCCAAAGGAGGTAAGTTACCACACTTACCTCCCGTTGTCCATAGCAACTTCCACTTTTACGGTAAAATCCACTTACCTCCTTAAAAACAATGTATTAATAGTCTATTTACTATAGTGGGAGCAGATAAAAGTTATTACTTTATTTTATGGGGAACTTAATTCTATAACTTTTCTTTAGTTAGTTTTTGGGTATTTTGGGATCTGAAATTGGGCCGAAAAAATACACATTTCCGAACGATTTCGGGAAAACAAATTTGTAACATTTATAGGTGTACAGTTTCTGCGAGCGCTTGTAACGATGTCAGTAAACAATTACTTTTATTTTTACTTTTCCTCAAAAAAGTATTGATAGTCGATATAAACCCAAAAGATAAAGTAGTTATATTTCAATTAAATTAAAAGTGCACAGCAAAAAAAAAGAATTCGTAATTACTCTATTTATACTTCATTTTTTGCAATGCGTAGTAAATGTTTTTGTCAGGGCAAAATTATCAGGAAAACACGTTGTAACCCAACTATCTGTTAAAACCTACTCACTTCCACCAAGACTTCATTTTCTACCTCTGTAACTTATTAAACTTTTTTCGCCAGAACCCGACACCGCCACCTCACGTAGTAATGAACCGAATTACAAAGTAATTACGCGCAGAAAAGTACTTCCAACTTCGGATTTCGTTTAACATCCCTCCCCCTGACAGATTAAAATTCACGCCACTTTCAAATCTTATACACCTACGCCGAAAAATAACCATTCCGTCCTCGTTCCAGACGGACCTAGACCTGAAGATGAATTAGCCGACACCTCGAGGGACCGCAGCCAATTTAGAAAGTCCCCGGATCGAAGATGAGCGTATTCCCATGAAGTAGGACTATGGAGAAGGACTCAGGGCATTTCTGTTACGACCCCTACCCCACGGTGTCCAAGCAGAACACCAACAGCCTGAAGAGGGACGCGGAGAAGGCGAAGAAGGACGAGACGTCGTGCTGCTGCTTCGGCAAGAAGGCCAAGAAGAGGAGCAGGGCGTTCTTAGCCGGTTTAGCCACGAATCTGGGTAAGTTTGATTAAAAAGTGTACTTCCGCTGCTTTAGACTACTTTAGTTTTGCTTCTCTTTGCTACTTTTTAGTATGTCCTCCAGAGGAATCGAGTGTGGAATATATGGTAGCCATTGTAATTTTCAGAGAGATGTTTTTTTCGTGAAGTGGTTGTTAAAGTCAATATAAACATAATATAATTTAAAAAAACTTTATCATGAATGTTTCCTTTGTATTCCAGAAGGCATTTGTATATTCAGTTTACGTAACTACAGCAAACTTCATTTGTTTTTTACCACAGATTCAGGTCTGGAGTAAATGCTGCTCATTGTGCCGGGCGATTCACTATATTTGACACCCACAAACAGAAGACGATATGCCTTGGTCCATAAGAAAAGGTCTTATATTTAGTGTTTTATCACCTCCTGAATTTATAGTATGTTTTTCCAAAATACCCTGTACAGAGTGATTCACTAGATTTTGACCCCCCCTTTAACTTTTTTGTTTTAAGAGAAAATGTAAAATACAAAAGTTGCACGATTTTTTATGAAGTTTTGGAAAATGATAGAAGAAAAACAAATGAAGCCCAAACAAATTGGTCGCGAATGCTAACTTTGTTAATTTATATGGAACATCCTGTATATTTTTACATATTTGGATAGAACGTTCCCTGTCAAGCATAGTCCTATAGGGTTTGTTGGGCGCATCTCTAACAATAAGCGAGAGAATATTAAAAAAAGAAAAGATGGTTTTTTTATTAAGAGAATAAGGTATCTTGTAATTATTAGACCTCTTTCAGGCACTTCTGACTTTTTTCCAATGGAAAAAAGGATTTAGATTTAGTTGTAATATATTTTGACATATCGGACATTGATATAGTCCAAAATGCGTATAGGTATTTTAACTAAATCTCACTAATTAGGCCGTGAGGAGCCTATTTACTCATGGACAATGTTATATGGTAGGCCGTGACAACAGGTACTATTATGACATTTTATTTGGACTTTTATTTTTCAAAGAATTCATAAAAAATCGTGCAACTTTTGTATTTCACATTTTTTTATCTCTTAAAATAAAAAAGTTAAAGGGGGAGGGGTGGGGGGTCAAAATACAGTGAATCACCCTGTACAGTGTAATTCACTATATTTTGACCCCCCCCCTTTAACTTTTTTGTTTTGAGAGTTATAAAAAAATGTGAAATATAAAAGTTGCACGAGTTTTTATGAATCTTTCGAAAATGATAGTAGAAAAACAAATGAAGTCCAAACAAAATGGCCGCGGATGTCAACTTTGTTAAGTTAAATGGAACACCCTGTATATTTTTACATATTTGGATAGAACGTTCCCTGTCGAGCACAGTCATGTAGGGTTTGTTGGGTCCGCGGCCATTTTGTTTGGACTTCACTTGTTTTTCTACTATAATTTTCAAAAAATAACTGTCAGCCTTTATTTTTTTTAACAGTCACTATAATATAATAGATGTTAAACAAAGCAATTAAAGAAACATAAATGCTTTTTTGTACGCTACTAGGGATGATTTATAATACTATATTTCTGCAATTATGCCAATCTTCATTTTTTTGCATGTTTCGAATGAGCATAATGTAAAACATTTTACTCAAAGAAGGTACACTGTTTAGAATGGCTAAGAACGCAAGGTTTTTTTTTGAGAAAAAAAATTGTCCCAAATCTCATTTAGTTTCTGTCTTTAATATACAGAATATCCGCAAACAAATGGACAATGTACAGGCCGATCCATTTTCGATGGGAATTCGGGGTATTTCAGAAACTACTAAAGATATGATAAATCTGACACGACGTTCTCGAGCTCGATTTTCATGGCAAACTCGACTGTCAAGGCAGAACTTTGCTATCTCATTTGTTTCCGAGTTACAATTGCGTTTCTTGTTATTGTCACAATTTTTAACACCTCTGTATCTCAGCTGTTAAATAAGTTAGAGTTAAAGTGAAAACTACTCAAGACTAATTCTTTGGCGTAGAATTGAATGTCGGTATTAGATTTTTAGTCGATCTTAAGATTTCGGAGTTATGACCCAAAGTTATATTTTTTTTAAATGGAAATCGTAGCTGATCATGGCCTAAACAAATAGAGAGTTTTTTTGATTTTTAACAGTAAATCACTATAATTATTTTTACAGACACAGGAGATATGGGGTGGGGTGTTTTATATATAAATTACATATTTTTTTCTTTTTAGTATGGCTGGTTATGAAAATACATATAAACTATAATTCTTACTTTTACAAAACTCATATCTGTTGTAAAAATATGACGTTTATTTTAAATGCACAACATATATTCGTATGATGACATAATACTAACGAAATTTTAGGGTATAGGTGTATAGGAACAAACGGACCGATCAGATGGCCAGCTAGGTTACCTGATTTGAATCCATTGGACTGTCTTTCCTTATCTGTAATATATATTTTAAATAAACGTCATATTTTTACAACAGATATGAGTTTTGTAAAACTAAGAATTATAGTTTTGTATGTATTTTCATAACCAGCTATATTAAGATGTAAAAAACGATCGAATTTATATATAACCCCGTATCTCCTGTGTTTGTAAAAATAACTATAGCATATGATATATTGCTGAAAAGCAAAAAAAAAAAATCGCAATTTTTTTATGTCATATCCAGCTACAATTTCCATTAAAAAAATATAACTTTGGTTCATAACTCCGGAATCTACACCAAAGAATTAGTCTTGAGCAGTTTTCACTTTAACTCTGCCTTATTTAACAGCTGAGATACAGACATGTTCAAAAGTGTCACAATAACGATAAACGCCCTGTAACTCAGAAACAAATGAAGATAGCAAATTTCTGATTTGACAGTCGAGTTTGCCATGAAAATCGAGCTCGAGAACGTCGTGTCATATTTATCATATCTTTAGTAGTTTCTGAGATACCCTGAAATTCCACCGAAAATGGACCAGCCTGCACATTAAGGAAGCAAAATTATACTAAGGTATCTAGATTTAAATTGGTATATCTTCATCCCAGGATGATTGTGCGTTTGTTTCCGGACACCCTGTAGATTGAAGAATAGAAATTGGACGGTCAAATGTGTTTTTCTTAAATGCGACGAGTTTTCAGCGATTCTAACAAAAATATCTTATTTATACATAATGAAATTTTATATTGTAATACAGCCATAGACTGTAAACAAACGTAACCGCAAAAATTTTTATCATAAAGTGTCACCAGGAGAGATAATAGTTATCTTTAGCAGATAGTCAAATACTAGCATCACTGATATATTTCGCGCTCTCGAAAATTTATTTTTACCGAGTGTCAATGAAATACATTGTTTTTTCGAAAAAATAAGTCTAAAACATTATTCTGAAAAATCATCATGATTCATAAAAATAAAGGAAGAGTACACACATTTTCTCAGCACTTTGTATATATTTTCTGTAACTGTACCAACCTATATTTATTTTTTGATATTTTCCAACATGTACTCCAAGGAATTCATGTATGAATTAAACGATGGTCATTATAATTATATTATTTTTAAACGAAATTCAAGTATTACTGTCTGTGGAGTTACTTCTTTGTCATTTCGAGCGGTTTTCATGTGCTCTATTTTTGAAACTAGCCATCTCCGTTGGTTTCTTGCTACTTTTTAACTTTTGCTCCACCGGATTTAAGTCTGGAGAAGATGGTGGCCACTGTAATTATCGTTTTGAACTATAAACTGCTGCTTGTGTAAATATTTTTGTTTATTTGATAAAGTTATTAAATCAATATAAAACTTTACTATGAATGCTTTTTTGTACTTCCATAGGTATTTGTGTGCTCCTCTTCGGCTACACCCTCATAGGCTCCGTGATTTTCGTAGCTATAGAGGGGGGCAACACCTACCAACACCAGATCTTGGCCACCACGTCCCTCTCGACCAATCTGAACAGCAACAGTAAGAAACACTTGAACCGCACTGCGGAACTGAAGGCCAAAGCGGACGAGGCCAGGGTGAAGACCGTGGAGAATATCTGGGAGATCACCGTCAGCCTCAACATCCTATACAGGTGGGAGTTGACCTAAGAAAAAGAAATAATGTTATTTAAATTATGTATTTTGTTTGTTCCTAGGGATAACTGGACCAGATTGGCGGCGCAGGAGATTACCAGGTTCCAGGACGAGTTGGTCAAGTCAATGGCGGAGGAAATGGCCCTGCAGCAGCCCCTTCAGGTCACCAAGGTGGGGGCAAAGCACGCCAATGAAAACTACGAGTGGAGCTTCGCCAAGGCTTTTTTGTATTCGCTGACTGTGCTGACCACTATCGGTAAGTGTATGTGTGTGTGTTAAAATATGCGTTGTAGGTACAGTTCAGACGATTTTTGGTGAGATAGAATTCCAAGAAGACCCCTGCGTCGCTTTCTTGGAATTAACCGCATTCGACTCCCGGGGAAAATTTCAAGGCACGCCACTGTTGCGGTAAATTGTTACAGTAGTTCCGATAACAGAACTTTATTGGCTTATTGTTTTCTTGGAATTCTATCTCATCAAATATTGTACGGACTGTAGATACAAATTTGAAATTTGGCGGATAAGGTTCTCAAGTCAATTGCATGCGCCGATTTAGAAGACATTGACAGTTGAACTAAGTGCAAATATTTTTTATTAATTCCAGGAATGCACATATTCGGAAACTGTACCTTAATCAAAATACAAATACTGGGCTTTACCTATTTTTTAGGTTTAATGTTTTTAATGCAAAAATATTGGTTAGTTTTACTTTTAAAAACCTGCTACTAAATTACAGGGTGTTAATGATAAGTTTTGCCAAACTTTACTGGCTTATTCTACCGATGAAAATAATCAAGTTTTGCCCTATAAAAATCTTTTATGAAACACTTCCCTACGGAGATACAGGGCGTTAAAAGTTTCAGATATTTATATTATTTTTCCTGTACCTTCACTGGCATAAAAGATTGAGTGATAAAATTTGGGGGATGACATTTTTTTAGTAGGGACTATTTTTTCATGGAAAACTTATTCCAAAATACACCCCAGTGACGTAGTTATTAGGGGAGTAGGGGACCTTTTTGAAAAAAAAAAAGTCGTACACCACTGGTTTTTTAAATAATTTTAAATGTTTTTAAAATATATAATCAATTTGTGGCAATAAAGTATTCTTGTAAAATATTCGTAAAATTTACTGGTCTTTAGATAATTGGAAAATCAAAATAAGAAGATACTTAAGTACTTACGTTGCTATTTACCATTTTCTATTGATTGCAAAACTCTCTACAATGCGCTGCCGAAGTACTTCTACATTAGGAACTGGAGTACGATATACCATAGTTGAGGTAGCTCCAAAAAAAAAAAATATTATTTACCACAATAATTGACGTAGCCTCTATGGCACTTCTTCTAGAAGTGATGGTAGTTCTTCTTGTAAGAGCCTTTGATAAGTTCTACCATCGAGGGTTCTGGGTAAAAAGTAGGGACCAATCAAGTAATCGCCCACAATTCCTGCCCAAACATTCAGAGAAAACTGTTCTTGGAATCGACGTTGGGAAATAATATGCTGATTTTCATCCGCCCATTGGTGATTATGATGACAATTCGAAATGGTTTTTCTTGTAAATTTCGCTTCATCGGTAAATAATATTAATAACTGAAAATCAGGCTGTTCGCATTGTTGTAAAAACCACTGACAAAATTCAATCCTCGGTTGGTAGTCATTTTCATTTGATGCTTGAACTCGCTGGACAAGATATGGGCGTAATTGCTGCTCACGAAAGACGCTCTAGATCAAGGGTCGGCAACTGGCGGATCGCGGTCCAGGTCCGGACCGCGGAAGGTAAAATACTGGACCGCCAAAATTTTTTGAAAGTATAAATTACTTAAATAAATTATTTAAAAAATGTTTTTTACGTTTAAGTGTCAATCTTATCATTTCTTCTAGTATTTTACAATTGTGTGAGTGTGTGAGTTCTTAATGGTTAGTAAGCAGATTAAATTTGAGTCCAAATTAAAATTAAAAAATAAAATGAATTTTTTTTTTTGGACCTCGTTAAAAATTTTCAAAAGTATTCGGACACCACCTAAAGTTACTTGCCGACCCCTGCTCTAGATTGTTACATGTGATACACCCAAATCTGCTCATATCTGTCTGGTACTGGTAGATGGGTCTTCGTCTACAGATTCCATCCCATAAATTCTGTCTTCCAAATGAACTGTACGAACAGGTCTTTCTCTTGCTCGACGTTTTGGTAGCGACAAACATGAAGTTTCACGAGCTCGACGGTGAACGCTTGAAAAAGTATTCCTTGTTGGACAACGTCGATTTGGAAAAGTCTGTCTATAAAGTCGTTCAGCTTGTCTATGTGCCATTCGCTTGTCTATGTGCCATTCGCTCCACCGTATAAAATGTATATCTGCTAATTCAATATTTGTATAATTGAATACCATGTTTTTTTTATTAAAATCTGTTTTTAGTTGTATGAAAAATAACAAACTTTTTGCAACACACAAAACAGTGGCGTTGTATAGTGTTTTGGAATCTCTCAAAAATATTAGGTATTGAATTTATTGTTACACATTTAGCGATCAATAGAAAATGATAAATAGCAACGTAGATACTTAAGTATATTCTTATTTGACTTCTCAACTATCTAAAGACCAGTAAATTTTACAAATACTTTACAAGAATACTTTATTGCCACAAATTGATTGCACAAAAACATTTAAAATTATTTATAAAACCAGTGGCGTACGATTTTTTTTTCAAAAAAAGTCCCCTACTCCCCCAATCACGCCACACGCCACTGGAGTGTATTTTGGAATAAGTTATTCATGAAAAAATAGTCCCTACTAAAAGAATTGATTATTTTCATGGGTAAATACTTCTATTACGCTAGCAATTTTAAAAAGTTTTCAAATATACTTCTTAAAAAAAAATATTTCTATATTATTTTTATTGATTGAGTTAATGTTATGTGAAGATACTTTAGGATTAGGACGGAATACCTTGCTAATATCTCTAAAGCTAGCCGTTTTCAACAAAAAGGCATTTAAATTTGTAAATGTAAATTTGATTTGTTTAAATGTTATTTTTGTTACACCCTATATATTTGCAATATTGAAAAATGAATTTTACTAAACTGATTTACATCGCGAATTATACCCCTAGTTAAAATATTTGTACACATTTAATATTCTCCCTGTGTAGCAGTAAAACCTCGATTTTTACCCTTCAGAATTTTTTTTGGGTCGACAGTGATCCCTTCCTCTAAACAATTTAAACTTTCAGATATATATTATTTCTCATATTGTTTACTCTTTTAAAATTATTATTTTATACTTGGTATACCATTTTAATGTACCAGGCGGTATAATTTTTTTAATTCGACTTTTATAAAAAAAAATTTCGAACAAAAGTTTTGTAAATATGTACGTAACTTTTGCATGAAAAATTTTTTTGAAAATGTTCCATTGAATTCTCAAGCTAATATGTCAAGAAATAAGAAGGATGGTGAAAAATATTTCCAACAAAAGTTGTCAGGTTTCGAGGGAGTCAAATTATGGTGACCTTGAAGTCAATTATCAAGGTCATTTCAAGGTCAACCTTGATTTTTTAAATGGAAACCCGTATTTTTTATTGCAAATTCGTATTCTGCGGGAAAAAATACGTAACTTTTGTATGAAAGATTTTTTTGGAAAATGCTTCGTTCTCTCGCCCGAGTGCGCTATACTTTGACTGTTCCATTCTTAGACTATTATCTCAAGAAATAAGCAGGATGGTAGAAAATATTTCCAACAAAAGTTGTCAGGTTTCGAAGGAAACATATTACCGTTAAGGTGAACCTTAATTTTTTTATAGGAAACCCATATTTTTATTACAGTTTCGTATTCTGCGGGAAAAATACGTAACTTCTGTAAGAAACATGTTTTCCCGTAGAATATGAAACTGTAATAAAAATATGGGTTTCCATTTAAAAAATCAAGGTTAACCTTGAAATGACCTTGATAATTGACTTTAAGGTTAATTTCAAGGTCACGGTAATTTGATCCCCCCGAAACCTGACAACTTTTGGTGGAAATATTTTTCGCCATCCTGCTTATTTCTTGAGATACTAGCCTGAGTTTAAAATGGAACAATAAAAGTATGGCGCACTATACGAGAGAACGAAGCATTTTCAAAAAAATCGTTCATACAAAAGTTACGTATTTTTTCCCGCAGAATACGAATCTGCAATATAAAATATGGGTTTCCAGTTAAAAAATCAAGATTGACCTTGATAATTGACTTCAAGGTCACCATAATTTGACCCCCTCGAAACCTGATAAATTTGAAAACCTGAAAAATTATGTGGCCTGGTACATTAACATGGGACACCCTGTATAATAGCTCCGAAAAGATTTCTCGTTACCGACGACTTCTCTTTTGCCCCGATCGCCCCCATTCGATAATTTCCGAAGCCGCCGTTAACGTCCCAGGAGCGAGCGGCTCCTAAATAGAAACAAAAATGTATTCCACCCCTCACCGGCTCGACGTCGTCCTTTTTTCGCTCATCCGACGAAAATTTACATATTTTGTTCCGACACACACGGAATTCCGACGGCGTTTTCGCTGAGATCCGCCATTTCGGCGGGGCTGAAGTGCACTTTAACTCTTTTTCCGCACTGCTTAGGCATTTCCATCGCATCCCGCTACGCTAATGTCCCCGGGGACGACGATTTAAATAAAAATTGGACAGGAAACCTTTTCTTGTTGCTCCTCCGACAGCGCCCCCTGCGGCCCGCCGAACTCGCTGTCACGGAGCACGAACCGACGAACCGCCTTTTTGCTGGGGTTTATAAAAGTTTATTGGCATCACGCGGCTTTTTTTACAAAGAAAAGTATACTTCGCAGAGGGTAAAGCTTTCGGTATCTACTGTGTATCACTATTAGAGCTTGACATTTGCGTGCAAAGTCATGGCGTCACTACGATATTAAGAAAAAGCTAAATGAGTGATTTTCAATAGAATGTGCGGCAAATGCTGCCTGCGAATTTTTATTGCCCGAGAAGTCGAAAGTGCGCTACGGAGGAGCATATAGAAATTTCAAAGAATGGTGCCAGAACAAAATTACTGGTTTTCTGAAATGTCACTGCTAGCATATTTCATGGAGAATTCAAGAACTTTAAAGTCACCGGCGAGTTTGTGGAGTGAATACTCAATGATTAAGTCACTATTTTCATAGAGGAGAACGTGGATATATCAAAATACCCCAAGCTGAGAGCATTTTTGAAACGTAAGAATGACGGCTATACACCTAAAAAGTCGAACGTTTTT